GGAGGGAGGGAGGGAGGGACGGATGACCAAGTAAACACTGGCTGGGTACCTGCCCCTCAGCTGGCACCTGTTCATTCACTGCACAGCAGTGAATCACAGATAAAAGCCTGGCTGCAGCTAGTCTCAGGACACTGCAGCCTGTGCTGGTGTCAAAGCACAGATGGCAGGAAGAAAGGCATATACAGAGAGGCTCAAGTCTCCAAGTCAGTATTGGCACAAGATCTCATCCCCACAGCGTAAACACGTGGGTTGCACTTGGAACTGTGGCTCTTGCCATGAGTCAGTGCAAACATTTTCATTTCACTTTTGAACTTTAAAACAGACACTTTTTCCTCTTCTGGAAGCCACGTCAAGTTGTTAGGTGTTTGCAAGACTTTTGCTGAGAGTCCAGGTAGTTTCTTTCTAACTCAGATGGCTCAGTGTGTGTGGTCAGAATCAAGCCAGTTGCCAGACCAGAAGTTACCTGTATTTTGGAGTCATTCCCAGGAGGTATCTCTGCCAAGAGCCTGCTGTGTAACAATGCAGTTACCTTAAAAGTGACAATTGGAGAGGGTAGGAAGGATGGATCGGTAGGTAAAGCACTTGCCACAGCAAGTGAGGATTGGGTGGATGTCACAGCTTGCAAGTAATTTCAGTGTATGTGGTGTGTTTAGCTATATAGTGGAGAAGAGTAGTGTCAGATAACCCAGGCAAGCTGGTCCGCACATGTATGTGCACCCACACACGCTTGAGAACAGAAAGAAAAACGGCCATTGGAATTAAGCCTTTCTGTTAGTTTCTGTCCAGCATTTAAGGTCCGCTGTGAGTGCTTAATGTTTTTGGTTTCTCCCTTTGTCTTCAGAGCCCAGGCAAAAAAACACAAAGGCCAAAGAGTCTCCAATTGGTGGACAGCCGGCTGACACCATTCCACAGTCCTTCGCCTCTGCAGCCTACAGCCTTGAGCCCACCTCCGCTCACTCCCAAAGCCACAAGGACCCTAAGTGAGTTTTTCCAAGTCTCCTAGATTCATTCCGCTAAGAAATAGAGAATGGCTATGAATCCGGGCAGTTCTTAATCAAGCCAACCACACACTGCAGGAGGCCGTCTCAGCGGTGATTCTGTCCAGTGGCCGTGGGAATCATCAAAGGACTGGAGTTTGGGGCTGCATTTATTTCAGTAGCAGTGCTAAGGGTCTGCCTGACCCTTTCCAATCACGAGTCACGAACCAAGTTAACACTGAGTAGTTAGACCTGTTCAGGGCAATGAATAAACCCAGTCCGAGACCAGCCGTCTGTAGCACTTGGGGCAAACTCAAGGGTTTCCATAGTGCAGAGGCATAGGGAGGACACATCTGACAGTGCCAAATAGAGACAGTGGTCAAGAGTTAGGTACCCAAGTGACGGTTCCTGCAGAGCATGTGCATTTCTCTAAATACTTGGGTTGAGAGTAGTTTCCTAAAGTGAGAAAAATATTCTCATCCTCCTCTTAAGAGTACACATTGGAATGTATACATCAGAATTCCATGTGGAGCTTTCTGGTGAATTAAAGAACACTTGTGGTCATGTGGGGTCCAAGATCTCCTCCATTCTTTCCATAGAAACCTCAGAAACGGCCACAGCAATGTGTATAAGGCTGGTATAGGTGCTCTGGTGGCAAGCATTATTTTTATGAGCTATCTGATTAAGTCCTCACCCTGTCTCTTTTGTATCATGTCCAGGCTCCCCATCTCTGCAGACGGATGGGCTGATGGCTTCTGTCCCTCCTCCACCTCCCCCCAAAAGCAAACCGTATGAGAGCAGTCAGAGGAACTCTGCTGAGGTAGGGACCCGCAGGTTGCTGGCAGTGTGGCCACCAAGCACCACCCCTGGGAAGACAACACTGGACCGTAACCCGCTCTGAAGGGGGGAGGATTTCCCCGACACGTGGCGCTACAGCCAGTGCCTGTTTCACTCCTGAAGCCTCGGGAGATGGGAAGGGAAATATGTCAGAGGCCTGCTTCATATAGTCACGTGGCTGAAGGAAGCATGTCCTCTGCTTCCCACGCTGGGGGTGAGATGAGTGAGTTCAAGTTCACACCAAAGCCTGACTTCTGAATGACTGGTGGCTGTCCTGCAGTAGACTCATATGGGTTTCATTCCTCCATTCAGTGAATGTTTACTTCTTCTTAAGTATAGGGCAGCTACCCAGACATTGGTGATGCAGCAGAGAGAGAGAGGGAGGGAGGGAGGGAGGGGGAGGGGGGGGGAGAGAGAGAGAGAGAGAGAGAGAGAGAGAGAGAGAGAGAGAGAGAGAGGGAGGATCAGTTCCAGGGAAGAGGACAATGAGTGCCATTCCCTTTTTGTCTTGTCCAGATGGTATAAGTAAATGCACATCAAACCGGACAATAACACAGATGCACGGAATGAGAGGTGACTTAGAAATAACCAAGAGACTGTATCTAATTCCATGTGTCTTTTCCGCAGATTGCTCCCCCGCTGCCTGTCCGGAGAGACGCCAAAGCCCCGCCTCCACCCCCTCCAAAGGCTCGGAAATCAGGCATCCTCTCTTCTGAGCCAGGCTCTCAGTGAGGCTGTCACCCTGGCTCTGCACCTCTGAGTGCCTTGGACCCCTGCTGCCTGAGAATGGCACCTACGAAGGGTGGGCTGTGGTGCAGGGCTCACTGCCAGCTCTGCTTCCAGCACTGAGACGGCTCCCCAACTCAGAACTGTTTTGTCTGGCTGAACGCTGAGTCGCATCCCCTTCAGCCCACGGCACTTCCAGAACTGGCTATCTGTCTGCATGAAGAAACAAGTGGTCTCCCTTTCCCATGGTGCCACGTTGGCCTCAACCACTGACTTGCTAGATCTGCAGATGCCCCGGCCAGCTCTCCTGTGGTGACACAGGGACAGTGGAGTTGAGGACAGCCCCAGCACTGACTCCTGTGTGGATTTCTCAGTTAGCTTCTGGACAGCTGTGCTGAAGACTTCCTTCTCTCCTGCTTGCATCCCTGACGTGTATAACCTGAAAGAGCCAGATACCAAGTACACTCCAGGAGCCAGCATGGCTCTTTCCCTAATGTCTGCTGTCTCCTTTGAGGAAAAGACCCCACGTATGTAGTGGAGGTGGGCCACTCTCAGGTGTAGATGGCTTCTCTTGAGATACCGCAGACTCACGTTCTGGCATTCTCCTGAAGAATGGCCTTCACCACACAGCAGTACCTTGCTGTGCCTTGGATTCTATTGACGCTCTTTGGTACTCGTTTCTCATCTTCTTCCTTTGAGCTCAAATCCTGGGCTCTAAGGGGACGTAGGAGCCTGGGCTCTACCGACTACATTTCCACACTCTGTTGGACTGACGGTGGTCCCTGCCTGCTACTTGATTTTACCTTGGAAAATACAGTGCAATATTCCCTTTGATTATTTATTCCTCTTGATCATGGAGTGAATTTGATTGATTACTAATGGTACTAATTAATGGCCATACTCCTTTCAGAAGGAAAAATTAGGATGACTTGGATGTTCAAATATTATGTTGACATAAATGACCACAAGATGCTATCGATATTTTGAGTTAGATGGGTTTTTAAATTCACACACACACGCACCCGCACCCTCACATTCATTCTTACTCACCTCATTTTGCAGGTAAAGAAATGGAGGCTTCATGCCAAAAGTGGACTACAGGCTTTTACTAACAGCCCAGCTTGCTCACATGCGACGTACCCAAGATAGCATCTCTAGCAAGGTCTTGAGTGCCTAGCCCAGTGGGAATGGTATTTGAAAAGCCCCAGAGAGTTCTAACAGACTTGGTTGTTGATGACAAAACTGAAAGCTTTCTGCGGCTTGGGTATACCTCAAATCACTCCAGTGGCCTTGCCCTTTTTTTCCAAGTTCAAGTGAGCAGGGGGATTCTAGCCGTGAGGATCTGCCTTTGCACATCAGCCTCTTCATTTGCATGTCTCCGCTCACCACCACCTTTGCTAGGGAGATGAGCCTGGGTCATCACACCGATCAAAGGAGCAAAAGACACAGAGGCATGCCTGGCACAGCACTAGAGAAGTTAGTATACATATCCCAGAAATGCCACCAGAATCTCTTTACTTCCATCAAGGAGCACCCGGCGTGCAGCCATGGAAAACACACGGACTCTGAAATTTCAAACTACTTTGGTCTCAAAGCCCAGGTGTCACCATTAACTTTGCACTTGAAATTCTCCAAGTGTTTGTTTTCTCACTTTTCAAAGTGGGGAATATTTCCTCCACACAGGTGGTTGTGGGTTCTGATTAAGGTGGAGCAGGGTGTGCAGTGACTTTCTTCTCTCTGTTAGACTTGGGTAAGATCTGATACGGTTAATTTTTCTTCAGGGTATTTGAGCCTGAATTCAGATATGTGTCTTCCCTAAACTAGATGGCAGCCTGGGTCACCATTTGCATGGAAGGGTTAATAAGAGTTGAAGATTATTTTAAGCAAAAGGAACCAGGCCCTGGTGAGGAGCAAGAAGGCACCAGAAGGGTGCTAGAGGGCTTCCATGGAGCCTGGAACTTCTGAGAAGAGCTCTAGCAAACGGCTAAAAAAAGATTTGAAGATGTCACCATGCTTTGCAGGCTGCCATTGAAACACAGAAACTGGGTGGGAAGAGAAAAACAAATCCTCTGCCTGTTTCTTGCAGTGAACAGTAGCAGAAGTAAGTCCTCAACCTGGTCTCTGAGCAGAGCTGGACCTGTCAGTGCCTAGATGTGCCAACCCCCTTTTCTTTGTGAGGCATTTTTCCATGATTCCCTTTCCATATTAATGAAAATAATAGCTTTCAGCTGCCTGGACACAAAGGACGCTGGGTGATGTCCTAGGTAGGTGCTGGTTTACAAGGCACTGGGAGATTTATCTCTTTGGGAAGGTATGTTAAGGCTTCTGTTGCTAAGATTAGCTTGTATCAAGTTGACATTAAAAACTAGCTGGCCCAGAAGCTGTGGATAAAGGAGTTAATTTGATTAGAAGAAGAGTCATTGTCAGTACTAAAGTTGAAGACTGTAATGACGTTAAATGCAAACAGGACAAGAAGAGAGAGACAGGAAGAACCAGACTTTAATGCCCTTGCTAAGATCTCTGAGGTATCGAAAGGCACTGAAATCAGCCCTGAGATTGTCACAGTCTTTATGATTGAATATTGATTGATGGCTTGTGAGTTTGTGGTATTGTTACATTTCTTTTTTTTTTTCTTTCTCTCTTTACCATGGTGACTTGTCTTGCCTTGAGATTTTTTTTTCCTTTTAAGGAAAGATTTTATTCAGTATACATGTGCTGAAGGTCAGACACAGTTCTAAACCCCTTGGTACACTCAATAGAAACAGCCTGCTCTGCAGTTTCCTCTACTATGCTGTAGGATCAGAAAGTCAGTAGTTTATGGCAAGGAAGCCCGAAATAAGGCTGCCTGGCAATGGGCTGTCTCCTCCCTCTACCTCCACCCCTTGCTTGACTCCAGAAATGAAGTCATCTCTCCAGCCAGAGAAATTATATAGTTAGCCACACTGCAGATCCCCTGGGTAAAACAAGGTGTGTCACAGGAGCTGAGATGGGACAATAACCACTTTGTCACTGCTTTCCAAGTTGAGTCTTTCCCTTCTAGTTGCTTCCAAATTGAGGAGCAGGTTTTCATTTTGCAACTCAAATGCAAATTACTTATAGTGAGAACACAAAGCACAGGAGTGCAGACAGAGACATCACTAGATAGCTAGACATCCAGGTGACCTTTTCTCAGACATAAGTCCTGTATTTCAGAAGGCGCCTGAGTGCCAATAGCACCATTCTGTAAAACGTACTTGGGAGGTCCTTCTGAGTTTGTGCCTCTATCCCTCACACTTCTCAGGTATAATGAGAAGAGGATAAGACCCTCCCATCACCACAAGACGACAGAGATGGTATCGCATGTCACAAGTCCACTTCCTTATATATTTGAGACTGCATGGATGTGGTCAAGTCTTTTCTGCCCTGGCCTCCTTTTTTTCCTAAGGAAACCAAAGTGAGATTTCTGTCCAAAGGTTTTTGCTGTATGAACTGGAATCCACATTTCTCATCCTTACTGGTGCTTTCAGCCTCCCATGCCTGGTTATTATGATCAAAAGATTTGTGAATATTAATGAGTCTAGCATCTATTTTTGAGGTATTGGTACAAATTGTCCTAATTCTCACAGCAGCCTCTGGATGATTGTCTTCAGAATCACTAACCTAGGCTGCTGAGCCGATCTCCCGTTCCTCATTAAGGATCAGACTTTCCTTGTGTCCTTCGGGGCAGTGGATGACTACTGTTTTCTTGGACATTTTCATTCCTTCATAAGTATGTTATTCAAAATTTTAAATTGGAAGTGCTGAAGATCTAGTTCACTTGTTTAGTTCATGTGAGGTCCTGGGTTCTATTCTTGGTACAGCTAAAGGAATAAAAATTGGCAAAAGTGAAGCATCTCTTTGGGTGGGTTCCTAGTCAAGCCATCCATTGTTAGCTGTGAAAGAAATAGTTTTCCTTTGGGGATAATTCCTTCTAGCTGACTCTTCAGACTCCCACGTGCACGCCTGAGCTCATCTCCTAAGTTGCCTCTTGCAAATTGCTCACCCCTGTCAAAATTCCTTCACTGTGAGTTTATAACTAACTGGGTTTCATCCATGGATAGTTAGGAAGATGTGTGTTGAAGAGTTTTGTTCATATTTGCTGTTATTTATTTTGTAAATTAAAAATGGAGATGTATTTTAAAAGTTTGTGTTGTGTTTGCCTGGTTACTGTTCTTAGATTAATAAAATGGGATCATGGAGTTTATGGCTTTTCCCTATTGACAGCTCCTTCAAGACCCTTCACCCTCAGGAGCCCTGTGGCTCATTTCCTTTCAGGAGCCTGCTGAGATGATCCTGGTGTCTGCCGTACACAGAACCAATAAAACCTGAGGTCTCTTCATTTCTTTATGCCCTGCCCATCCAAGCCATCGTTGTCTGAGCTGAAAGTTTCCATATGGGAATTAATTTCACGTATGCAGATGCTTTGTGCATTCTTTTTGGCTAAGTAGGCACACGAAAATGGATAAATAAAATAAGAATATCTGAGCTGGCCCACTTAATCTATTAATTTTAAAAACTAACGATACACTGTTATATGTGTGCCTCAGGATTACCTTATGTCAGTTGTTCTTAATCTGTGGGTCACAACCCCCACAGAGGTCACATAACAGATTTTTACATTACAATTCAAAACAGCAAAATTATAGTTAGGGTGTAGCAATGAAATAATTGTATGGTTGTGGGTCACCACAACATGAAGAACTGTATTAAAGGGTCACAGCATTAGGAAGGTTGAGAATCACTGCCCTATGTGTTTATTAAAAATACAGGTATGAGTGAATGTATAAGCTTGGTGTATTCCAACTGAGAAATTCTGCTATTGTCTGCTGTCAATATCTGAGTGTTCTTACATTTATATACACACCTGCACTGTGTGTGTGTGTGTAATTCAAGTTTACTGAAGGGTAAAGTGTTCAGATGGAGAGAAAGGTTTGACATTAATAAGTATAATGTTTTTAGTATTCTCCATTTTTCCTTGGTCTTTTGGGCCATTTGTCCATTAAGTGGAACCAATAGGCTTGCAAAACCATGTGTCTTCTCAAGTCTGTAACAGCAGCAGCTATATGAACACATTTTTATCCTAGTCAGAGAATTCATTGCTGACTCCAAAACGTTTTCCCCAGAGATGGTGTTGGATAGCAAAAATCCAAAGCTCCAAATACAATGTATAAAATAAGGTCTGTTGCTTTTTAAAAATATGTTTGTTAATAGCAAGTTCAAGGCCAGTTTGAGCAACATGAGGCTGTGTGAAACAAACTGAGACATTCATAAAAGATAGTAGGCTACTGCTTGCCAATCATAGTTTTTGTTTTTAAAATTAAAAAAAATCAAATTTAGAATCTTTAGTGGACATTGCTGAAATCTGAGTTTTTCCAGAGCACCCATGGCTATCTGAAAGTTGTGAGGATATGTGAGAATTGTGTTGTCATGTCTAGGACCTTGTGATTTGGCCACAGTAGAAGAACCAAGTTGATTACGAGCCTAATTACCTGTTTTAAGTTCATACCACCAAACCCTCCCATGTCGCAAGCATCTGGCTTTGTTGACTCTTCCTTGTACAGTGTAGGGAGTAGCAATCACAGATCCGGCAGAACTGAGTGGTTCTCCTAAACCCTGAGCCTCGGGGTTTCCTTACTTCAAACCATAGACAGTCATGGTTATTTCCCATCTTGCTTGAAGATTTTTGTGCATGTAGATTGGGCATGAAGTCTGACTTTGTCCTTGGGGAGGATAAAATGTGACTGAGAAGACACAGGAACACCAGTGTCCTGCATCCAACACTTCTGTTTCTTAAGGAAAATACAAAAGTTCGTAGGAAAGAAAGCAGTCTTAAGCCATGGTCCCTGCTGTGCTTTGGATGTGGTATGTGTCCTAAAGATTCAAATTATGGAATCCTGTCCCCAAGGTTGTCAAATCTTTATGAAGAGGTGGATCTTTGAGTCATGGTGAAAGCATCCTTAGAACGGACGAATGTGTCTCATGAAAGTGAGTTAGGTCCCATGAGAGCAAATCAATTGTCTCACTTTATAACCAGCTACTCTGATAGTAATTGATTCAGTAGGTGGTTATAAAGTGAGACTACCCAGTACTGGCATCTTCTGTGAGCATCCTATACCACTGTGATATTTGTGGTTCCATGACATGATTATGATACAACATAACAGATGTGACCTCTCACCCATGGACTAATCAGCCTCTCAAACTATGAATCAAAAGAAACCAACTTTCTTTATCAAGGATCTCGCCTCAGGAATTTTGCTATAGCAATAGAACACTCAAACAGTTCTGAACCTCATATCTGGCAAGACCATGCGGGGCAGGGCCAGAAGGCAGAACCAAGAGCTTAAAAGGCTCTGGCTCCCCTCTGCTTCACTTGGGTTCTAGCTGACTTTGAAAAGCAGGAGGAAGGGAGTTCTTTCCCAGCAGCAGGCCATGGGTGTTACGTCTTATAGAGACTGTCAAAGATGCATTTATAATCCTATAGAAGCCAGGTGAACTAGCTTTCTCTGGCCTCAAGCAGTATGTGAACACTCTTTGTGAATGCAGGGTGGGTGAGTTATGAACTGTGTCTCTTGATCAACAAGACACTAATGTCATTATGGGTTTTTCCCTATCTATCCCATGTCCTCATTTAAAGAGCTACATCCAGAGCTCAGAGGAAGAGGCACATCACGTTCACAGGATTTAATCCACAACACATTATTTTATTATGAAGTCTATGCTGCTGGGTATAAAAACGCTGAAGCCCACACAATTACAGAGCTGTAACAGGTCACAAGTCTCAGGGTCAGTGTTATACTCAGGTGTTGAGGATCCTTCTGGGCCAGTGCATTTACATCTTCTTCTGCCTGGCTTCCTCTTCAATCAGACTTTCCTGAAAATACATAACATGCTTATCGATGTTGAACTGACTAGCTGAAGATTCATTGTTTCTGACATTTTCTAAAATCCAGATCTAAGAACGGGTGTCATTTGTCATCCTTGTGCTAGAAAACACAGCAGACAGTAACTTGTAGAGCTGCTGACATAAAATCTACATCAGTTGCTTAAAGGATGACACTGTGAGAAAGGACTGAGTCAGATCAGCCTTGGGATCCTTCATGATGCCATGTCTGGGGAATTTCAGCACTGGTTATTTTGATTGGCCTATAAGCAAAATTAGAACAAGAAAGGGAATAAAGATGTTTGCCCACCTTCATCTCTGTCCATTGGGTGTGGAAACTGAAGTCACTAGAGAAAAAGTTTTTAAAAAATCAACCTTATCTGGTTGCATGATTTACTGAGGATTTCCCTGCTCCTCCGAGTAACCAGCCGTTGGCCTCGTGCTTTCTGACTGCCACGAATAAGTGGGACAGTAGCTCGAAGAACACTGCCACCCAACTCTAAGGTCATTTTCCCTGAGCGGTTTGTTTCATGCTTGTGTTCTGGTGAACAACCTGTATTGCAGCCAGGGATAGGAAACACACCCCTGTAATTGGAGCTTCTCCGGAGGCTCCGGAGGTTTCTTCTGGAAGAAGAAACCGCAAATTCAAGTTCAACTTGGGCTGCACAGCAAGTCTGAAGCCAGCCTGAGAAACTTAGTGGGATTCTGTCTCACAATTAAAAAGGCACATTTTGTTTAAATAGGAGGGCTAAGAATATAATGCAGTGGTACAGTGCTTGCCAGCGCATGTACTTATCTGGGACCAATACCCAACAACAAGGAGGAGAGAGGGTCGAGGGTGAGAAGGAATGTTCTATCAGACCAATAGATTTCCTTTCTGGTGGGCATTAAGGCCTAACAAAATTGGAAGTCAAACCTGTGCCTCTGAGTTACAAACTTTCTAAGTTGACAACTTAACTGTATTCCAAGTAAGGGATGACCTAGAGCCTTGTCCTTGCTTTCTATCCTTCCCAGGGTCCTGCGAGCAATGGCTGAGTCAAGGGCAGGCTAGGAAGAAATCTGTCAGTCATTGCAAAGGCTGAATCTGCAGTGAGTATATAAATTATATAGTTATAATATATAATAAAGTATATAAGTTACATAGATGTATTTGAATCAATTTAAGAAAGAAAATAGTTTCCAAACGTGAGTGCTCTCTAAGCAGAGTGGACATGCTATGAGTTAGCAAGGGCCCCACTGCAGGAGTGAGTTGGGTGGCTCTGCTGTGCTGGCAGATGACTGCATCCAAAGTCCTTTGAACCTCTAGCTCTATGTGGTGAGTAATGCAACTCACCAGAGCTCCTCGCAGATCCCTGAGGGGTGAACGGGGCCAATGGACAGTGCATTCAAAGTGCTGGGGTTCGGCCATTTGATCCACCTCCTTGCCCATCTGGAGATAAAGAACGAGACTCTCAAACACAAAGGTAAAACAACACAGTTTTTCATTTGCACCACAATTGGTCTGTGGAGAATGAGGTCTGGAGGCTGAGTGGGAGGCTTGGAGAGTTGTAGGGTCTCGGGATCTTAAGGATGCACTGTTAAAGCATGAGCTGGAGTTTAGGAGGTGATGGGACAGTCAGAGATCATGTTCTTTCAGGCAGCCAAGAGTGAAGTGCTCTGAGCCTCATGAACAGACTATACACAAAAAGCACAAGAGCTTTCCGGTCCTGATAGGGCTGGGTTTCTCTTTGCTACATTGGTTTTTTGCTGCTGTTCTTTCATTTTATCTCAATTGGGATTTCACTTTGTACCCTAGACTGTGTATCCTAGTCTAACCTTGAACTAGCTTAAAGTGGTGTGTTTGCATCTCAAATTGACAGGGGGTGGATTTGTGATGGTTGCTTTTAATAGTCAACTTGATCCAATGTAGAATCACCTGGGAAAAGACTCTGTCTAGATCAGGTTGGCCTGTAAGCATGACTAGAGGTATTATCTTGAATGCTTACTGATATGGGAAGATGGAGCCAGTTATGGGCAGCACCATTCCCTAAGTTTGGGTCCTGGAAAGTAAACTGAGTACTAGGCATGTATAATTTATTCTTTCTCTGTCCTTGACTATGAATCTAACTAGCTGTTTTGAATTCCTACCTTCACTTCCCTACAATGATGAATCCCCAGAACTGTATGTAATCCCTGGAACTTTTATATAAGCCATTTTCTCCTAAATTACTTTTTAACCACAACAGAAATGAAAACAGGACAGAAATCTTTCTTTTTGGTCTCCAAAGGACTGTGGCTACAGGTATGAGCACCACACCCGGTTAGGTTGGATTTATTTCTGGTTTTCACTACATCCTAGTCCCATGAACTTTGCTTCCCAAATAATCTACAGAGCGAGGTCTTCAGATTCTCCGGCTTCAGTGCCTCTTCTAAATCAGTGCCTTGGCTTTAAGTTTCTCAGCTATGTTTCCCGTTCTCAGTTACTTTTTGAATGCAAATGGCTTCTCTTGTGTAATCTTCCCCACCCTTAAGAAGTGAAGTTTGAAGAAAAAGCAAGTGTCCCACATTAATGCTGGCGTTAGTGCTATAACTTAATCTGCAGGAAATTACATCTAGTATGTTTTCCACCTCACAATCTTACATTTGATAATTTGTGGATTTGAACATTCTCCATGTTCTTTGCTTAAATGTCTCTGTCATTGACCAGAAATAATGACACTTACGTCTTTAATACCAATACTTACTGGCAAATTATACAAGGCTATTGATATCATAAATATTTGAGAGCATCGTGTCTTGTGATACACTAGGTGTCCTACCCTCCTCACCTCTGCCCTGCTGTTTGCTTCCTTAGGCTTTGTCCAAAGTACAAGGAGGGATTTTCCACTCCATGAAGTCTTGTCTCAGTAGAGTCATTATTTAGAGTAAGCTCAGAGTAGTACCACTGAGGCTTTCACTACGTGGCTCATGCAGTTAGAAGTGAGTCAAATTGGTGCTGGGAAACTTACCTCTTGGAAAGAATCAACCAAATGTTCAGTGTTTCTCTTTCCCCCAGGGCGCAACCCATAGGACCAGTGCTGGCTGGAGCAGCCTTCCAAACACACAGTCAGCAGTAGAACACCTGCCATCAGTTTGGAGATTGTGTCCATTCTAAGAGACATCAAGACACAGAGTGAAGAATGCTTCACAGAGAGGCTAGCACCTGGACCACTGGCTCTACAGAAACTGCAAAGGTAGTCACCCAGCTTGTTCAGAGACAAGGAAACACAGGGGCATCTGCCTGTCTTGAGCTTCATAGACATGGGACAGACACCTGTACTTGATTCCAGCATATGCAGTACTTCTTTGTGATAACATAGTCCATTTTTTGTTTATTTGGGTTCTCTGAAACCCATACTTCATCCCGTACCAAACTGAAACTTTGCCCATCCATCTCCCAATATAGTTTTCTTTTTTTTTTAAATAATCTTACATTTATTTATATTTTGATTTATAGAAAACATGTGCCCTTGACAAAGCCTTAAGCTTTTTCCCACAACTAAAAAGAATCAAGCTTGAAAAAAAATAGCTACCATCTTTTTTTTTTTTTTTGTATTTTTTTACATTTTTTCTCAAATCATAATTAATTCACACAGGGGTATAAACAAAGAAAGGCAGGATGTGGGGAAGGGAATGACACTGGAATGTGGGTGTTCAGGGGGAATACAGATATCTTCAGAACCAGGTATCGGCTGGGTGAAGGTTCAGGGGACAAGTCACCATGACTCTGCCTATGACTCGCTTGTCCCCATCTAAGCTGGTATTGTCTGCCATGGCTACCTATTTACAAGGTCCATGACCACTCAGGCTTATAAATTTCCACAAAAGCTGCCTGTTTACAATAGCTTATAGCCATCTGTTTCAATGTTCTTCCACTGAGACCCAAGACTTGGTGTTAGTATACATGTATGACAGGCCCACTGCTGATTTTAGGCCTATGGCTGATTTTAGGCCTACAGTGTGTAAGCAGGGCTGCCCCTGATATCTCCTCCCTTCTCTAAGTATAGAAGGGCTGTGGCAATTCTAAACTTGCGAAGGCGGGGATAGAGGCCTGACCTCCAGTATTTGAAGGGGACCTTGTAATGGCTCCAGTCCCCCTGTCATTGTCCAATTCTTGTTCATGAGGTTAGAGCTGGGCCATCTGCTCTGAAAAAAGAAGCACCTACTAGGTATCTCTGGCTAATAAAAGGTTACACGTGGCACTGCTGATGTTTTTCTGTCTGCCCATCTAGTCTTTAAAGCATTGCACCTGGCCAGACCAGCCTCAAGACGGAGGGAAAGCTAAATACTGATCTAGGTGAACGGACTTAGCTTAAACGCCCCCATTGCCAAGTAAGTGTATCGTTAGTTGATAAAACGTGTCTCCAAGGTAATTTCATCTGATGGGAATGAGGCTAAAAATCAATGTCCAACACTGCTGGGTTCATCAAAGTTTGGCTCTCCCCGAAAGCTGGTGGGTGATAAGGTCAGCCAGTAAAGGGCAAGGCTTCCTTGGATACCATCAAGGCGTGTGATGACTTGAGCCATGAGCAGAAAACACCCTTTAGACATACAGTAACAAGCAACATTAAAAACAATGCTAGAAATACAAAGAACTTTACCTTTTTGGATGTGAAAGCCAAAGGGATACCAAGCTTCCGTTGGTGGGTTGAGTACTTTGATGTTTCTCTGCCTAGCTTCCTTTTTATATGATTTTTTTCTGGGACACTGAAGTCTTCCCCGCTGGTGAGCACAGTGCAGCACAGACTATAGTCTTAATAGTAACTTTTAAACCCTCACAAAAAGCCTTTTAATTGTGGATGTAATTGGAACACCTGCTGGTCTATCTGTTGCATTTTCTTAAACCTGGTCATTAAGATCTTAGCTAAAACTTTCACAGCTGAAGCCACCATTCTAAGGGCTTAAAACCCAGCCATGTTGAATTCCCCTGAGGAAGCTGGCAGCCCAACACAGAGTTCAAGGATAATCAACGTCCTAGGTTTGGTAAAGTTAAAACACACACTCAAAAATTCACAGGGAAATTAGGTGATAAATACACAAAGCTGAGACAGAGGACCTGAGAGCCAGTCTTAGCATTTGGGTCTCTGTAAAAAGAAACATTTAAATCAGATAATCATAGTGTTGTTCCCAATCTAAAATAGCTGATTTAGGGCTGGTGAGATTGCTCAGTGGTTAGAGGTTGCTCCCACTCCTGATGGCCTGAATTCAATCTCAGGGTCCTACAAGGTGGACTAAGCGAATTGATTCTCTCAAGTTGTCCTCTGACCGCTATGCATGTGCTATGGCACATTCACAGACACATACATACATACATACATACATACATACATACATACACACACACACACACATACATACATACATACATACACACACACATACACAAATGTAATAAATTTTTTGTTTTTTGAGACTGAGTTTCTCTGTGTAGTCTTGGCTGTCCTGGAACTATGTAGACCAGGCTGGTCTGGAACTCAGAGATCTGCCTGCCTCTGAAAATTTTGCTATCTTTACTCTATTATCCATGATAGTTGTTTCTAAGCCATCTGCCTGTTAATAGCTCTTTGCATCTAGTCATCATTCACTGAAATGAATGAATAAAGGACTTTTTAACCAGGCTTGGCAGAAGCTGCCTCTATTTCAGAATGAAACCTCTGTGTACAATACATTGTAAAAATCTGTTTCACTACCTGAGCTGTAAAAATGCTTTAAAAATAACATGTTTGATCTTTCTATAGCTGAGATCGGCAACATTGCTGGCAAGATGGTAACCCCATCCGTCACTGCTCAGTGTTCTTTGAAGTAACTCCATTTGCAAGGGTTTCAAGTAAAGAGTAATAACATCAGGACCAAATAAACAGCATTGGTTTCCCAGGACATCTGTGCTCAGTCCTTATGAAAGGGTAGGGAAAAGGGACTTTGCAGTGATTAAAACATTTAGATGCCTTCTCTAACACGCTATTCTGACACAAAGAGCAGAAGAACCTCTCTGAGTATGCAGGTAAGGTGAGTTTTCAGTAAGAATTCCTTAAGTTTGAACAATTGTGGTTTAAACTGTCCACTGTATTTTGTTAGAGATGAGCTTCTAAATGTCCCTCAAGAGAAAGACTGTGGTGTTTGGCTAGCACTAACAGAGTAACAAGAATGTTTGAGCCTTGGTGTCGGTGGACTGCTTACCTCAATGTTTCTGAATTGATTTAAAAAAATTAAAACATTTCGAATTGTTTATGAATAGGGCAACACAGACCCAAAACTTCAGATACACCTGAGTATACTTAGTCTTGTCTTAGGTCACACAGAGCCTATGGACAGAAACCAAATCTGCCTTACTTTCAACAGCATCAACTTGGCTCTTAAGCCATTAAGCAGTCAGTGAGGTTTTGAGGCTTAATGGTAGACTTTTAGATGTCTCATGATTGCATGCTTAGCCAATTTACCCAAGACCTGAAATTGACAAATTGGGTTTAAGTAATTGGACTCTATAATTGTCACAATTTTCTAAATTTGAAAGAATGGTTTTATAGGGAAAAAAAAAAAACCCGACTTCATTTTCAACATTAAAATAGCTCAAAATGGTAGCAGTGATTTTGTAACCTTCCTGAATGATGGGTGAACAACCTGTCTTGCCCTAATGTAAAATCTCAGCAGGAGGACTGTGGGGCTAACTGCAACTCACACTGCTAAGCCAGGCAGTAAAAGGGCTAAGAATAAAGCCTTGGGGAACATGTGTTATCCTGAAATAATGCAAACCACTTTCCTTTGTAGTTTGATGCCTTTCATTTTAAAGATACTACCTCCTTGGGGAATTGAATATAATTCTAGAGATTTTCATGTATAAAAGATGATTTAAAGTTCACTTGGGGGTAGACTTATGACATAAATAACAGATTCATAAAATGAACTGGAGAAAAATAGGTCTTGATTAATAATGGAAGCCATCATAATAATGACTTTACAATCTTTCTTATTCAAAATCCCTTCAAATGGTTTCTGAGGAACTTGACTACATCAGAGCCTGACATGTATTGTCTCAGACAGTTACTCCAGTAGAGACCTGAATTTTATCAATGGAAATCATTTAGCTCATTTAGGCAGAGAATCTTTCTGCAGCCCTCCCATGAGGTTCTATTTTAACTTATATACACACACGTTCATGGTGAGAGCTAATGCAAGTCTTACTATTTGGAACTCTTCCCCTTTCTTAGAAATCTCTCTCCTAGATCTCTTACTCAACAAAGCAAAAGAGCAGTGATATTCATCAGCTACAGAGCAACACAACTCACTCCCTGGGTGTCTTCCCTAGTGTAGAACCAAAAGAGCTGTAGTGTGGTGGTCTGTGAAAAGACGATCAGGAAATCACACCCAAGAAGTAAATTTGCTTTAATGGCTTTTTCAACAAAACTAATCCATTAAGAGCACTGTGCATGGCACCATCATGAAGAACTGTGGGAAATGTAGAAAGTGCTGACTTATAAAAGCAAGAACAGAAACAACGCATCAGCGTTCCACACCATTTATTAATGCGGTTTACATCAGATCTGAACCCCGCAGTTCCCAAGCACACTGTGTTTACATCTTTCAGCTCCTTCTGCAGCCTCACGACTGTCTGCAGAGGACCATTCAGTGAATGAATACAGTCTATAATTATTGAAAATAGAGTGCAGTGAAATGAGTTAAATATAATTTAGGCACATATTGATTATGAAAATAGGTATCTCTCAATACAATACTTCTCTGTCTTGGTAAAAATAATAACACAAAGAAAATAATTCATTTTCAGAAATTGCTTTCCTTTCCCTGTAAAGGAGCGCACTCCTCCCCGTGTAAGCCCTTTACTGTGAAGGAAAGCTTTGCATATGTAGATATAAGAATAAGCTACAGAATAATGAAGACATGCCACTCTCCTGAAGGAGACAAGGTCATCTGTAATGATTCACTGCCTCAAGCTGACCAGCCTGTAGGATCTAGAACCCATTTGGACACAGCTTCTTCCCTGCTTTGGGCAACACATAAGGACACTGGGACACCCACTAGGAAGGTAAAGGCCCTACTGCTGTGTTCACAGATAATGACTCAAGAAAACTGAACTAGAATTTCATTTAAAAACAAGATGACAAACAACAGAAAATATTAAAAAAAAAAAAAAAAAGAGCCATAGGTACTGACACAGTGCAGTGTATACTAGCCAAATGCTTCATTTTGTTCAGCAATCTTTTTTGGTGACTATAATCAAGCTATCAGTTTAGAATTTCTTAGTCCCCACTGTAGGGTTTCAGCTATGATTATCTGATGTTGCCTTCTTGTAGGTAGGTGACTGCAGGATGTATTCATACTGTAGAGCTCCACCTGCAGTAGATTTAGATTGAATGTCTACTCTAAGCCGCTTGTGTATAAACTAACTGGCATTATATGAGCTGTGGTGAGGATAAAGCTTGTGTTTTGGTTCTGAAGTATCTTCCTGTGCTTGTGACAACAGAGCATGAGAACTGGACTAGCGAAGGGAGAGAACAGCCTAGTCTGCTCCAGAGTGGAACTCGCCTATAATGAAGCTGAAGCATGCTCACTAGACAGCTGCAGCGACTGGGGAATCCTTCCCTCTCCTGCAGAATGAAACACAAGAGCTTTCCTTCCATTGTGTCTCAAAATGTGAGAACAGAGTAGGACTCAAATTTAGCTGTTTTCTTCTTTAAAAGTAAACATAGAAGTGAATTTCAAAAGAGCCATAGGGAGTCTTAAACTAACCTCCCTCCTGTGATAGATAGGTGTGTGAAGAGGAAGGCATCACTAAAGCTATTTATAAACCTGAACAACTCTTCAGAGTCTTCAAGATGTTTAACAACTTAAACATCCTTACTGCATCTAGGTATTCAATAAATATATTTGCATATGTTGTGCTTTTCATAAATTAAAATTCTCAAACGCATCTTAAACCAAGATGGTACTTCCACACAATGCCTAAATAAAAGCAAATATAATAGCTACTACTCCTGGTCAGAAACCAGACAAATGCCCCAACTCCACTCAAAATGCAGCAGCATGATCTACTGTCCCTACATCTATGAACAGAGTGTTCTTCTGTTACAGTCACAATGAGGGGAAATGCAATTATTCCCCTTATGCACCTCTGGGAACAAGCATATGCCTTAAATTCCCTTACAATTTCATCTCCACTAGACAACTCGATGGACGGAGAAATAAAATAAGGAAACACTTTCATCTGGGACATCTTCCTCCAGCTCTTGCCACTCTCATCTGACACTCTGGGACATATGTAATGGTGTCAGCATCTCTTCAAATATGGCACCCTTCACGTTGGAACCTCTCAGGTTGGCTTCTTGAAGGTCACACCCCGACAAATCACAGTTCTGTAAGACAAAACAAGACTCATGGAACTCAAATGATTTAGGATCTGACTTGGTTCCCCCACAGAATGATTTCTGGGCATGACAGGACAATATTCCCAAGTGTTCCCATTCTTGAAACCTTTGTACTAATGCATTATGGCAATGTGAATAAAAATGACCCCCAGAGGCTCATATATTTTAATGCTTCATCACAGTGAGTAGAAAGGATTAGAAGGGCTAGGAGGTATGGCCTTGTTGGAGTAGATGTGGCCTTGTTGTAGGACGTGTGTCACTGGGGGAGGACTTTGGGATTTGAAAAGACCGTGCCAGGCCTAGTCTCTCTTTCCCTGCTTGTGGAGCAGTGTAGCAGGATACTTATTTTGCTACATTGT